TATCAATGTTGAATCATTAATTGCCGGGGTATCATGACATTTTTCAATGCGTCGTAACTGTAATTTGAGGCTACTCTTTCCGTCCAAAAGCTACCAATATTAATGAAGGCTTGACGGAGCTATTGATTGTTGCAAGACATTTATTAAATAACTTTCATAAATAAAAAGACGAAAATATCAGACACCAGCTTATCGAGCACGATTCCTTCTAATAAATCTGAAACCATTATTTAACGTAGATCTGAATGGAATTAGGTTCTTTTGAAAACGATAATATTAACGATTTGCGCTTTCTATTTGATATAAGGACATTATAATACTAAATATACGACATTATAATACTACATTAATCATTAATATACGTTGATGTTAGCGAGAGACGTTCATTGTATTAAATTTCCGTCTAGAGTTTGAAGTCTTTTAATTCTGTCACTGGCAGATGTTAGATAATTACCTTGTTTAATTACCTGTCAGGATGACGGGCTCCGCAGGCTCGAAACATCACGCCAAATATAAATTTCATTTTGGTTGTCCTTAATTCAATAATTTTACAATGTGACATTCCCAACGTAACTTTGGACTGGAATTGGTATGATACAACTGATCATTGCTGGTAGTCATGTTACAATCTGTATTATCTATATTCGATATTTACTTGAAAAGCAGGTGTCTGGAGTAATTCGACTGATAAATGAGAGTTTGGGTTATCAAAAAGCACACGAATGTCCAATAATTGCCGGCAGGTATTTATTGTTCTCTCTCATTGGTTAATATACCTACACCAGACAATATTAAAACAACGTACAATGTGTCTTGACGACCAAGAATAATCTGTATCGCAGTAGCTTAGTTATAAGAAACAGTTGGATGTTAAATATAATTTTAACAGCATCAATCGTCACTGCGACACAAATTAAACAAAGCCAGACCACTATAGTTTATCATATATGTCTTCAGAAGAAACTAAGTTGGGTAATTAAGAGAAACGTCCAAAATAATTACATCCAGCCGAGTAGATTGTATTTATGATATCGGTCGGCATTATTCTATGTGTTTGAAACTTGCTTTACATTTCTATAGCAAATAGGTAAACGTACCGAGAAAAACATTTTTACGACGAAGCCTCGTGTAGCATACATGTCTCAAAATGACCGAAGTATTGTATTAATTAGACTAGAATCCCGTTCAGCTCAATTCCAAGAAATAAAGTCTCGATTGACCTATAGTTCAAATTAAATGATTTGTCATTAATTAGGTAGCGCCACTATTACTGAAAATGTGTTAATTAATCCGACTGATCCCACTAATTACTTTCTTTCAAAAGAGTAGTGAAAAAGGCTAAACAAACGCTAATGCTATTTTAAGCGTAACATGAACTGACTTAATTTGTCACAAGAAATGAATTTCCAGTACTCCCCCCTGTTCCGATGCTCCCTGTATACAAATTCATTTACCCAAAATAACAGTATGTCATGATTCTGCATAGAGCAATCTTTAAATCTTAGAACATAATAAAGTAGACTTTGAACCAAACTGGCCGGGTTAAATAATGTTTCTCAATGGGCTGGGGGAGGGGTTAGCAGAACGAATCATCTGACCACCTTACTTCACGAATATCCCCTTAAGAAAAATAACTTATCCTTACCTTACCCCACCCCACTCACGTAACCCCCGCCTCAATTTTATTTTTCCAATTACTGATCCTATCGTGTGGCCGTTTGGTCGCATTGGATCCCTTAAAGTCTTATTTTGTACTCTCCTGACTAAACTCATTCAAAAATATATAGCAAGGCAATACCATTGTCTCACACTCACACAAGTTTGTTTGTTATTTGTTTGTGAAGGTGCAATTAGTCCATGTCTTAAGGAAAAATGAAATAGAGTTTAACGTCCCACTGTTCTGCTCCGACTGGGCTAATGGAGACAGGCGTACGTCATACAGTGTGCTATGATGGTAATTTTGCTCGGACAGTGGTGTTAAGGCCTACTCTTACATTGAATTCCAACTGCCAATGAGTCTTTTACGTGCATGCCAATGTGTACACTGGACTTCGGTTTTTCGTATCATACAAACGACTACGCGTTGTCCCTTGCTGGACCCTCTGTCCTGCTCCAATGACAAGCGAAAAACACGCCAGAAAATCCCGATGAACTTTTTCGGCCAACGAGAATCGAACACGGGATCTCCAGGTTAGAAAACCAACGTCTTATTCACTGAGCTACCGTGGCTCCTATTCTGAAAAAAAAGAACATAGTCCGTCATTTTCAATAAAATAGATAATGTTTATTTTGAGTATCGGTAGTCAGATGCATTTTCTAAAAACCTAGGTCACGTCTGAATTGCTGCCTACGGTGCATTATAGCATTACAATTTAAACTGATTCAGAAAGATCTGCATTATTAAACTTTTTTTCTATGCCATTGAAGACTTATTGAATTTTCCGGAGATATTGAAACTCCATAATAAATGTGAAATAGATTCGAGCGCAACATGGGTTTGAAATTTAATTAGAAAGATTAATGGTAGAGAAACTGTTTTTATATTACAAACAGTGAATAATAAATTACATGTAGTTTACTTTTAACACCCAAATATATTGCATGTTTAACAATAACATAGATTACGAATTGTATTTTGCAATTTTATCTTTTTAATTCTTTTGCATAAAAGGTATATAAAGGTGACTGTATCAAGAACTTCAGCATCTATAGTATTCACTATCCTAGAACTTAAATACCCCCACCACTTCTCAATCCCTTTTAGAAAAAATACGCTCAATAAATAAAGCGACCGTTTATTTCACTGGGTGGATCTGTGTTCATCTTGTTCAGTGAATCAGTGTAAGGCAGGTAATTTTACAACTGTAGATAAAGAAGATGTATCGATGTATATTAAATGTTATTGTAAAATGTTGCCAGCTAAATACTGGGTTTCTGGACTATGTATTATCTTTTATTATACAATGTTTGTTATGTCTTCTGTTTGCCCACTATGCTATCTACATTATCTCTTATTATATAACCACAATTCATCTTAAATCTATTCTGGCACATTCACCACCAACGTTGCTTCATTGATGTCGATTTTCTCCAATGTGTTATAGTACTAGAATGTTTAAGTCAACTTAACAATTGATATACCGTTTGGCAAAATGGCAACCCTTACATAACAATGCTAGCTTCAGTTCTGATTTGTTTTTACTTTTGGGACTTAAAATACCTTAGTATATTCTAACGTTTCTTTTATTTAGCGAAATAGCGCTTTCAATCATTCCCAAACTGAAAGAATACCATGAACCAATAGAGATTAACACGTTAACTAAGCTTGAAACATCATCTGTCTTCTATAAATTCTGTTGTATTTTAACGATTCGCGTGGTACTTATTGACTTATGTGTTTATGTAGAGTTAAAAGACTGGGTTGTCCGGTTTAAGAGCAATGTAGGTCTCTAGACGGATATTCTTCCATTTCCTTTCCCCGACAAACAGATTTAAGATATAATCAAAACCCACATTGCTTTCGTATGAAGATGTCTGGTAACCATTGATAGATACTAATCTATCTCGGTATATTGCATTTAGGTACAATTGCTGGCCACTTGAATGCTGTCTTCAGGAGATTGAAAAAAGGAACGCCGCCTTGGATTGACCTTTATTATACAGTCAATAAAACCCGAACATTTAAATATGTGGAATCTTAACAATGGGTGACACTTTACAAATGGTGAACTTGTATTAAGGTACAGTTGACTCAATGACAGACCTTATGATACATCGCGCACGCGCTAACCTTTTGACTTCACATTGTATATTGTCAGAAAAATGCAATTTGCATGTCAAACGATTATTTCCGAGAACAAATTATTTCAAATAGCTTCTTCAACCCCACACAGCAACATTTCATTCTCTTCAAAAAGGCAGTGTAAATACTTCATTATTTTCAATAAATGTCGACTGTTGGCTGGCATATCTCGAGTTCTCGTTCATACCTTGTTATATTTCCATACTTATTATATTGATTGCTAATGATTTCTGAAGATCAATATATTTCAGTATGGTTATGCACAAACCACAAACATAAGCGTGAACGTAAACGTGATAGATTTACGACAATGAAGAGATGCAAATTGTCTACTACCGATTCTTTATCCCGCTTTGTTTGTTGGAATTGGCCGGACAATTATAAATAAACCCTCCTCTAAAAGATAAAACGCTAGAAAATAAAACAAATGAGAAAAACACGGGAAGAAAATAAACAAAAATACCCTAATATCACGAAAATATGATATTAAATTGATCTATGACTTTTATTGTTGTCATGCGAAAATACTTATCTGTATGTAAGTTCCATAAACTCCACCTAGCCAGAAGTTCCCGGGTTCGACGCCTGTGTTGGCAGAAAACGTTCCTTGTGATTTTCCAGCTTGATTTCCTCTTGTGGTGCGGATGCCCTAGCAATGAAAAATGTGACGCTTGCTCGCTAGCCTGAAAGACGCGGGTTCGATCCCGGTGGTGACCGGAAAAGTTCATCGGTATTTTCCGGCGTGGTTTCCCCTTGTCAGTGACGCAGGGCGGAGGGTCTGACAATGACAGCTGTCTAGTCGTTCGGATGGGACGAAAAACAGAGATAGCGTGTACACATTGGCGTGTCCTTTGGTAGTTGGAATACGATATAAGAGTAGGCCGTAGCGCCGCTGTCCGGGCAAAATTACCCTCATAGCACACTGTATGCTGTATGTCCGTCTTCATTAGCCCAGTCGGAGCAGATCAGTAGGACGTTAAACCCCATTTAATATCAATGAAAAGTTTCTAGCCGTTAAATTCGAGTAGGCGGAAACGCCACTGTCTGGGAAAAATGTCTCTCATTGCATTGCTCATGGTGGTCGTCTTCACTAGCCCGTTTTGCGCACAATTCAATTATACATTTGATTTATCTTAATTCGTTGTATAAAAATTGTGCTCAGACTTTTAAATACACGATATATCTCTTTTCATTTCAGAAAGTGTTGAAAAGTTTACAAATAAATCGTTTATCAACCCAGTCTTCCTACCATCAGTAACTAATATCACTGTTAAAAGAGGGTCGTTGGCTGTTTTACCCTGTTCTATACAATACCTACAAGATAAACAAGTAAGTTTTACCCTGTACTATACAAGATAAACAAGTAAGTAGTACCATGTTCTATACAATGAGACATTTCATATAATAAGCCTACTTGTACATAGAAATAAAATGAAGATAACCTGTCCTGTCCACATAGTGGTTACAGTAATATGGGTTACTGCGCTATTCCCATATATTCAAACGACAGTTTACTCGTTATTGCGATACTCGTTCGGAAGTAATAATCTCCAATCGATTGCTAAACTCCAAAGGATTACATCGTAAGGGGTATCGCCTACACATAATTGCATGCATTTAAAAAGAAATTACAGATATGTATCAGAAATGATGTCTGACTTTGATAATTCAAAGAAGAAGAAATAGAAGTGTATGGTTTTACCAACAATACCTTTGAATCGATAGCAAATTGTACAAACACAAACTTAAATCACTGCCGTTACATTCTGTGTTTGGACATCATTTTGACAAGAACACTATCAATTTTCCCATTGATTTTAAAGTTAATTCTCGTCTTTAACTTTTTCCCAACCAAATATTCTTACCAAATATGGAGCGACATCTGACAACTTCTTGCCCAAAAGCAGGTATTATGTGTATCATGGAAACTCGAGAAACACAAACTGGAAGTAGCATAAAAGTAAACAGGCAGCTGTCCGCCCTACATTTCAACGAAACCAAACAGTTAAATCTCTTTTCTTTCCGCCTCAAAATACAGGCAGCTGTCCGTCCTACATTTCAACGTAACCAAACACTTAAATCTCTTATCCTTCCGCCTCAAAATCATGAATATTCACCAAAACCTGGCGGAAAATGGATATTCTACACCAAAAGATCAACAATCTCCATGCAAAAGTAGGGAAAGGAGGAGAAAGACTAAAAATAATTTATGGGTATCCAGCGTAGGAATTTATGGTGAGCTGTGTCCATTTCTAGAACACTCGATTTCACAACCAAGTGTGTGCCCAGTCTTTAGTAGCCAGCGGTAAAATGTAATGGTTAAAAAATCTCCTGTCTCTTTAACTTTAGTATAATTCACTCAAGGCTTTCCACCTTTCAAATGAGCAAATGTGAAACGTGTCATTCAATCGATGTGTAGTTTAAAATTATGTTTATCCCCAAACACAATTAGTACACATGTCAGTTTCTTCCGTACGAATTCAATCTTTAAACTAGTAATACAGCGATAAAACAGTTATAGTCTTAAATATCAAGATCCATGATCATATTCAATAAGATCATATATTCTTATATATTCATCATCATATCATTGAAATGAAATGAATTGGGGTTTATCGTCCAACTGTCTGCTCCGACATACAGTGTACTATAGGGGGGCCATTTGCCCGAACAGCTGCGCTACAGGTTACTCTTATATCCAATTCTAACTGCAAAGGGATCTTTTCCGTGCACCCCAATGTTTACACGGGTTCTCGGTTATTTTGTCTTATTTGAACGACTTTACTTTATCCCTTGCCAAGCCCTTTGCTCTGCACCACAGGCAAGGTGGAACTAAGCCAAAAACATGGCTAAATGCCGTTGGATGCACAAACATAGTTCGCCGTACCAGTTTGTAACTATCAAATTGTCTTTGCGGATTCAAAATATCAAGGAATGAGATTGATATCAGGATAAAAGCAACTTTCCAGTATTTTTGTCAACAGTAATTATTTACAGGAGCAATTAAATTAACCGTAAAACTTATTTATCCACTGAAAATGGTTTAACGGTTAACTTGAACTTCTGACTGAGCTATAATTTTGTAATCACTTCGATTTAGTTCTCGGGTATAACCCTAAGGTCTATGGATACTTTAACGACAAATCTGAACTTTGATACTCGAAATCAACTTCCTCCAAATTATATCTGACCACATGAATGAGTATGCCCAGAATCCGTTGTTAAAATACTTAGATGCAGATTTATAGTTGAATCACTTAGAGTCAATCTTCATATATCTCTGGTTAATGGTTTCATTAGTATGATACATTGGTAGTCCTTTACCACCACGAAACATAACTGACAAGTCATCTGGAATCTTATATAGCATCTGATATGAGGAGATAACATAATTTCCCATGTTATATTTCTTGCGCACTTCGATAGGCTGACAAATATGTTACTAAAACGCCAGAAACTTTACTATGAAGACTGTGATCTGTCTACTTTTGTTGTTTGATTATAACTGTTTTATTTATATTAAATGTTTTGAAATAAAATATGAATGTAACGTCCGACTGGGCTAATGAAGTCTGTCATTTGGGAAATTATTCATTCACATCTTCGTCGATTTCTTGCTGCCAAAGGGTTCTATTCCTTCACACCAACATGGGATCAAGAACGTTCGTCCTATCTGAACGACTAGAAGCCTGCCCAAAACCACCGACAAGAAAAAACTACACTTGAAAATACCCCCGAGGACAAGGAACTTTATTGGACAACACCTGGATCGAACTCGAAACCCCCTGATGGTGAGACGGTGCTTTGTTTACTGAGCCACCACATCCTCCTAAATCCCAAGATACATGAATATGTCATATATACAGGCATATTATATTATCTGATGAAGTAATACACATGTAAGTAAAACAAAGAACCAGAAGTTGAAGGAATGTATAAACTTAAGACCTAATATTTCTTATTTTTCACTAGCCGTTTCCCCTTCATTATTCTTTGATTCTAAGATACAATTACTTATTTTTATTTAATTGGGTATCATGGCGATGTACATATATGATTTAAACAATACATTTAATGCTCGGCATTTAATGCAAGGTGGTTTTAGTCCGTCGATGTGATATGTTGAATGACTTCTAATTTAAATAACATGATTGTGCTTTTTATGCATTTTCTATTCCTTGCTGGTTGGTGTTTAATGTTTGTGGTATCACAGACAGATTTTTTTCTATTCCTATGTTATACGATATCCTTATTTCGTTTCAATGTAAGTGAAGACATTATTTGTTTTCCCTTATCTGGATAGCTGCCTTAACCCTGACATGCTAAATCGGCTTTGTCAGTTGTGAAATCTACCAGATTAGTTATAATAGGTGTAAATTAAAGATGTCGATATTATGTAATGTAAACACTATTACATCAATATCAGATCCTTGTCGTATTCAGCAGTTGATTGTTGACGTTTTATTGTTGATCTCTACATCAAATAGTCCTAGCTAGATTCCGTTCTTTTATCATCTAAAGATCAACCGTTAACTCGATTGTTCAAAATAATATTGTGGATACCAGCATCAAATAACTGTGTTAATTGGATTCAGTTCATTTAGGACCCGCTTAGTATTGACATTAAGTGACATTATGTAATGGTTTTGTACAAGTTAAGAGGGCTTTTGTGTTCAATACTTTAACGACGTGTAGTTGATCCCCGGGTGTGTGAATTGTCTGTCTTGATATCCTGTTAGGAAATTATAAACAGTAAAACAATCTATATGTGGACACAGATGGGTCCATAGCAAAGTGTGATGCCTTTTAGTTGCAAGTCAATTGGTAATAATGCTACAACTTGCTTTAATTGAGATTACGTCTTTCACAGATACATTGGCTGCTGCATCTTATTCAGTCCTTTAACTATGCCTCTTTTAGATCTATTGTCTTGGTATATTTTGTTGTCATTTGTCTACCGGTTCATCTTACAAGAATATATTTACGATATAGAGGTCACAATTCTATTGAATACACATACTGTTTACTTCTGGGGGTCGTTTCAACCAGGCTTCTCTGGTCATTATCAAACAATGATAAAATATGAAATATAACCAGATATATACTTGTTTAATGCTGACCAACCAGAGACACCCTTCTAATTTACCTTGAATGGAACCATACTTAATTAAGGTTATGTAATTATATACAAAATATTATATTTACAAGTGATTATTATATTTTACTAGAATTTAAACTTTAGACCGTAGCAAGGTATATTTTATATTTTACTCGCCCAGTTCAATAACTCGACCTATTATCCACCACTTGAAAATTTAATGTGGATCTTTATCCAAAATTGGATGTCTGACCGACAATGCATCAACTTTATTTTCTGCGACCTTTTTGTTGCGAAAGAAAACTAAAATGTCTGGTCGATTACATTGGTGTGTGTTCATTCAAGATTATACAAAACGACATTCTTTATACGTTTAACCCCAGGCAGAATATAAAGTAGATTTTATTCATTAAAAAAATGAATGGTTTGGAGGGTTATATATTTCTTACATGCTGTCGTCTCCAACAGTTCCAATAACACTCTTCAAATACCATTCTTCGACTGAAGGATTGAGAGATAGAAAAAAGCCCAGTCAACTTGTTACAGAAACCAGATCTCCATCAAGACAGACTTCAGCTTCCACCAACTTCTGACAATATCTAACACCACACAGAAAACACTTGAAATGTCTTCATTCAATAATCCCTTCAACTAAGCAAGTTTTTTCTTTATTTAAACCAGTTATCAGATGTTTAAAAGTCTAGAGAGGCTTCTATAACTGTCAACTGTAGACACACGCCAGTAGTGGAATTAACGGGAATACCTGGTCTGGTTTTCGAGATAAGTTTTTTCTAGTGATGATAGGTGAATAAACTTAAAACGGTTTAAAGAGCGCTGTATATAAATAACGAGGGGATTTTATATTTTATAGAATTAATGTCACACTTTTATCATGATTTATGTTAAACTGGATGGATAAGAAAGATAGTAATATAATTATGTGTATTATTGAAAGATAATCGACTTAATGATCAAATAAACCAACAATTAAAATTGGGGATTTCCATATGTTGGTCCGATGCGTTTGTGGATAAACTTGTCCATTGATCCTGTAAACCACAATGGTATGAGATTCCAGTTAAAACCCACAAAAAAAAACCTGTAGGTGGCCGTTCTACATATTAAACCCATATTCCGAACGCAATAAACTTGCATGAGTATGACACACCTTATCCGTTAAAAATGCCTGGATCTTTTATTTAAAATACGTGTCTTAATACTGGGACGATAACCTTTTCTCTAATTATGCGATCCGGGGGTTTTAAAAATCACTCGCCCGCAAGAATAAATTGCAGGAATATAAATATTCATGAATATACACAAAGCAATGTCGATAGTACGGAACGATCTACAGTGTGTGTGTGTGTGAGGGGAGCGGGAGGGGGGGGGGGGGGCGCAAGGTGGCGCCCCCCCCCCCCCCTTGTCAGTAGTGCAGGACGGAGGGCCGGACAAGGACAACTGTCTAGTCGTTCAGATGGGACGAAAAAGCGACGTCCCGTGATCACATTGGAGTGCACGTAAAAGATCCCCTGGCAGTTGGAATTTGATATAAGAGTAGGCCGTAGTGCCGTTGTTCGGGCAAAATTTCCCTCATAGCACACTGTATCGTTCGTTCGTTCTTGGTGTTTAACGTCTGCTTCCACATAAGTGATATCGCAGACAAGACATAGGAGAGCCGGAGCTGATTCCTGTTTTTTAGAATATGATTTTGCAATCTTTCCATTTGGCCTTAGGCCATGGATTTGGTTTAGTGGGAAGTTCTTCCCTTTATTTAATAGCACACTGTATGGTGTATGACCGTCTTAAATAGCCCAGTCGGGGCAGAACAGTAGGACGCAAGAACAGCACTGAATTATATTGTTATAAATAATTTTAAATTGTATTTTCAGGTGGTGTGGAGGTTTGTAGATGAAGATAAGTTTTTAACGATTGGTAAAAAGACTTGGTTTAAAAGTGATAAAATTATATTAGAACATTTATCCCAAGATGATAATATTACTAATTGGGATTTATTAATTAAAAATACTGAATTTATAAATGGTGGCATGTACGAGTGTCAGATAACATCAACTGTTGATTTAACTAAAAGAGTTCAACTTAATGTGTTAGGTAAGTTTGAAATGCCCTTTGGATACGTCGACAAATTATCTAATCTTACGCCCGATTCCCACTGGAACAAATCAAATGAAAACTCGCGGATTCTGAATCGAATAGATACATGGAACCCAATCGTCGCCAAACGAATAACATTCGATTGATACCAATAGACAATTAAATATGAAATGGAGTTTAACGTCCCATTTCTGTGAACCGGCCGGGATAACAAGACGAGCATATGGGGAGAATTTTGTCCTAACAGCGGCATTGTGATCTACTATTATGTCGATTTCCAAATGTAGAGGGATCTTAAACGTACAATCAATGGTATACATGATATTTTGTTCCATTTTAACGAGGAGACGTCGTTTCCTTGTCGGATTCTGTATCAATGAGAATGCTGAAAAAAACCCAAGAACCTTTCTCGACCAACATGGGAATTGAACCACGGGTCCCCTGCTTAATAGGAATCTCCTCCAAGACACTTGTACTGAAATGAGCGCGATTCAGATATTATGTTTAAAATAACAATCAATTATATTTGGCACTGTTCTTTATCAATATATACAGCATGTTTACCATATCCTCCACCATTAATAAATAAGTTGATAAATAGGATATGTAACTGTATATTATGAATAATATACAATAGACACATAGATTACTAGTCGGATAGACCTAGACATATTAACCCTGGCAGTTGTTTTCTTTTATAAATGTGTTAAAGTATGTAACCCTGGGTACTACCGTCTGGACTTAAAGCTCACCTCATCAACTGTAATTTAATAACGTCCCCCTTAGATAGTTTGATGTAAGAAATTACTCATTGCTAAAAATATAGAGAACCGTAAGAGGCAACACAGCACTATCCGTCTAACAAAAAGCACAGAGCATCGCCGACAATCGAACATGTTAAAGATATCCAGTGCGAAAAGTAACCAGAATAACAACCAAAAAAACCCCCTAAAAACAAAACGCAACAGGACATCTAGCTATTTTGGTTGAGCAAAATGAAATGTTGTGTGATGTGTTCCGGAAACAGTCGGCATACTATGAACAGTGCAAAACACAATCACTACTACCTGTAGGTTGAGGCCCGTTTTGACCAAAATTAACATTTAGAATACTTAGTAACATAGAAAGATAATAGCATATACATTGTCATAGAATGAAATGAAATGGGATTTTACGTACCGCTGTTCTGCTCCGAAGGGCTAATAAAGACGGGAATCCGCCATAATGTGTGCAATGAGAGAAATTTTGCCCGAACAACGGCGCTATGGCCTAATCTTATATCGAATTCCAACTGCCAAGGGATCTCTTACGCGCATGCCTTGGATCAGAAAATACAAAGAGCTAACAAATTAGGCATACAAAAGCTGCATATTTAAAGCTGCATATTTAGACTGTTCTATTATTTTAAATTTATTTTATTTTATTTCAGAAACTACTATAAAAGGTGATAGATCTATAGATCGCGGTGAAAGAATTTATTTTGTTTGTAACGTGACGGGGGGCCCCCATATACCTACAGATATCACGTGGTATAAAGATGGACATCCAATAACAAGTAGGGAATTCCCCCATGCTGTAATAACTAAGTATAGATCTAACGTTAATAATTCTAGTATAACAGAATTTATAGTAGACAGAAGTGTTTTCTCTGATACTGGTGTTTATACATGTAAAAGTAAAACAGTGGAAGCAGTTGAAACTCAAATATTACTTCAAATAGGTATGCATTGTTCTTGTAATGTAGTGGAAATTTCACACCATACTACTATATTATAGAAAAGCAAAAATATTTTATATGAAATGAAATGGGTTTTTCTGCCTTCACCGACTGGGCTAGTAAAGACGGGCATACGCCATGCAATGTGTTATGAGGGAAATGTTTCCCGGAGAGTGGCGCTACAGCCTACTCTTATTTAGAATTCTAACTGTGTCAAGGGTTCTTTTACGCGCACGACAATTAGTATTCGGTATCTCGATGTTTCGTCCCATCCGAATGCCTATATGTTGTTCCTTGTCAGACCCTCTGGCCTGCATCACTGACAAGATGAAACCACGCCGGAAAATCCCAAGTAACTTTCTTGGCCAAGGCAGGGGTCGAACACAGATCCCCCAAGTTAGCGAGCCAACGTCTTACTCACTTCGCTACCTACCGTATCTCCCTATTGTATATGCCATCGCCTTAAAGCCCAAGACTTGAAATTCAACACTATGTTTCGCAATAATGGATAAATTGCACTTCTCGACTAAATCAAAATTCTAGGTGCGATAGGTTACTACTGAACTGTTACATGTATACTCATTTCTATATCTTTTTTTAAGTTGGGACCAGTCTTGTCCCCATTCAAGGACTAATAACTTTATCATTTAAGTTGGGACCAGTTTTGTCCCCATACACCGACTAATGACTTTATTATTTAAGTTGGAACCAGTCTTGTCCTCATACAAAGACTAATAACTTTATCTCATTCGATTACGATATTGGATTTAGATTACTTATGCCCCCGTCAGACCGGGGTGACGTCCTTACTGCGCTACACCGACCGTACGGCGACCAGAAAATGCACAAGGTCGCCGGCAAACGTGGATACACCGCGCGAAAATGTCCCAAAATATTACAAACTTTAAAAAAGTCGCGTTTTCACATCTTTTCAGGGAAGATCGCAGAACCTTGGCGTTTGTTTTGAACATGCTAAAAACAAACGCCGTGGACTATGGAGACCACTTCGTGATATCTGGCGTTTCCACCACGCTTTTACCACGCTTATTTGTCGATCTTGACGCGCTCTGGGACCGTTTTCCGTCGCCATAGCAGCGCAGTAAGGGCGCCACCCCGGTCTGACGGGGGTATTAGATACTGGGACGTCGCTATAATAGACATTAAATTCAATTTTGATACAAAACTTTCTGTGTTGTTTCCCCTTCGTTGCAAATTAACTATATATATTCACTATATTTTACAGGTGATACAGTCCACGTTAAAAGAAGTGAGTTATCTTAAAACTGAATATTATATTCGTATTATAAAACAAACGATTTGTTAAACACCATTGTGTGATGATCTCAATGGAGTTGCCTTAAGTTTTAATTGCTTTAATTTACAAGCTGTCATTCAATCGTTTGCAAGTTTGCAAACTGTCGTCCATATTGCTATCTTTTGAAATTCTTAAATTTTAAGCTCTTAAAGACATTTCTTGTGTGTAATTATTTATATTATATTAAGCCTACAATCTTTCATTTAGTCTTATTTCTAATTTTCTAAGTTCCAGTGTTTGAAGATTTAAAGGAAGAAAAAAGAGAAGAGCTTTCTCCGGTTTATAGTAAGTTGTATATGCCGTTTTCTAATTATTCTACGTGTATGCTGTACACAATCTAATGAATTAACACCATATATTTGATAAATATAAGACAGTGACAAAATATGTTGAAAGGTATGGATACAATTACCAAAAGGTTGAGATAAAAGAACTGACTATTACCTTTACAATTCCACTCGTTTATTGTGTTTCGTGCTCTGCTTTCAGGTTCTGGTTCACTACAGACGACCAGTTCCAGCAATAACACTTCAATGTCAGTTGTCATCAAGTTCGTGTTTATAATGCTAACCTTAATAAACCGATGAACTGCCCGCAAGATGCAGTTCTATCTATGTTAACCCCAAGATGTGCCCGTCAAAATACTCTATTAGGAAAAATTATTAAACAAATGGACATGCTCAAGATGCAATTCTAATGATGCAAACTAGGACGTTAGGACGTGCCCATGGATATACTTTATTAGGGACAATTAATAATATGCGCGGGTGTGTTATTAAGATAACTTGGTAGTGAGAATACTGGGTTATTCTGTATTTCAAAATGTGGAATGTGTTTCTAAGGACGGTGGTTCACCGCGAGCGTGTTAACTGTTTATCCAAGTGTGTAGCTCTACAAATTTCGGAATTGAATTATAAATTATTGTGTTTCAAGTTAACTTATTTCGTGGTATGCCTAAAAAGAGATTACAAACTCTTGTGACTCAATATGAACGTCGATCACCAACTTAACCACCTGTGCTCAATTTGCTTTGGCGAGACATTAACTTAAATGTGAATGGATGATGTATTTATTTACAATGTTGCTTTTTCAAACTATTATTAAATTATATTCGGCGAAATCTGTGATATCTACTTATATGTTAAAGTAATAATACAACACTTTACGGTTGCATAATTGGATTTTAATTTGGTTTAAAAATAAATATTCTGTATTTATGTTTAATCTGCAGTAAGACAGAAAACTGAATTACTCATTGTTTTATCACTTTGAACATTACTCATTGTTTTATCACTTTGTACATTTCTCATTGTTTTATCACTCTGTACATTTCTCATTGTGTGATCATTTTGTACATATTTCATTGTTTTATCACTCTGTACATAAGTCATTGTTTTATCACTTTGTACATTACTCATTGAAATTTCGTTTCAAATTTCTCCGAGGTTTAACGATTTTATCATCGTTTCTTTTTTTATCGACTTCCGTGATTGGAAATTGAATATCAGAATGCAGGCATTGATATAAACGAATGTCGTTCGCGAGGCAGGGCGTGCTTACTATTTTTGGAACCACTACTAAATTGTCAGTGTACTTTGGTGTACTTTGACATGCATTGATTGGTAATACCGTATTTTTCTCTTGGAAATAATTCAAGACATGCAGAATTAACTAAATCAGTGTTGACTTTCTTATTCTCGAGATTAAAGTATTCAACAACTCTGCGATTTATGTGAGATCTTTAATTTAATGGATGCAGGTATCGATTCTTCAAAAACCTTAGAACAGCCAGTTACTGAAGCGAAATAGTTGGTTGAGGGCCTGGCGGTGTGTGTCTCTCCCCCTGCCCGAGAAATTGTGAATGTCAATAGCGCATGTCTGGATCCGAATATAACATCCAATTTCTTTAGATATCATCTCACTATACTGCAGTTACTCTTCCCTAATTATTGGTGAATTTTAACAATGTTATTTGAATTTCTAGATAAATGTAAAGTAGAAATTAATTCTAATGAATTAGGAAGCATACTCGCCTATGTTATAGTTCCATTGTGGATCGGAACTACCGTCGACCCATTGTTCCAGCAGCCCCTGGAGATTAATAAGACACTAACCTTTAACTGCTTGTGGTGTCAAGCTTCATCAGAGATAACCCCAGAGTGGACGCAAAGCTAAAGATAAAAGCAAGAGGAAGATGACAATATAAATTGTCTGATGAACATCCACGAGAGACTTTTGTATATTATATTTTAAGAAAGCTAATTTCCTCCAGACACAACCAATAACTACTTGACTGAATATATCTCTAGCGTGTAGAAATCTTTACACAAGAGGTTAATTGACGCAATAGCCGATGGATATTGACAATCAATGGATGACTAAAGTCCAAATAATTTTCCTTGACCCCCATTCTTGGCAATTTATCGTCTGTTGACTTCAAATGTAATTCTATCTAATATATATGTTCTTTGACGCTCTCGTCTGTACTGTTTCTCATACCGTCAGGGTATTGAAGATAAATAGCTGAAATATCCACTGATCACAGTATCTATAAAGGCCACAGAATCTAAAAGTTTACAGAGAAAGGAACCTGGAGCAATGGATAATTAAACGATCCGGCGTATTTTTATGAACTAATTCTACACTTTTATTAAGTATGCATATCAAAGTTTTATGACCATGATCATAACTTGGACAACAGACATATTATTTGTCTGCGTCTGCAGGCTTTAGAGATCTTTGACATGGATCCCAATGTTCGGGATTTAGTGATTTCTAAGGTGGGTGGCGCACGGGACTCGGACACCTTTATACTGATCTGGACAGTATGAGTAATATTCATATGTAATGTTCAAATGTGAGCCCAACTCAATGAATTTATATACAATCCATTCAGCAGGTATAATGCAAGCGCTCTTCAGACTGTTTCACACCCAAGGGTTTAATAAGCAGGGACATTTCTTCACGGTATACTAGTTCCAGAGCTGACTGCCAGTTGTTTAATACATTGAAGCCATGTACTGTGACGTAATAAATAGGATAGTTGAAATATACAAACCGTTAAGACAATTTATCAAGGGAAAACGTTTAAAAGAATTTTCCATGAATTTATTCCCATGGTTTTTTTTAACCTTTTTGGCTTACTTTTACAATACAATGACAACTTTATTGACAATAGATGCATATTGTTAAAGGGGCAATATTCCAGATTAAGCCAAATATACAGAATTCCAGAAAGTAGTCTTATCAAAAAAGCATATTGATCCAAAATAATTAAAATGATCAGTCTTAACGGCAGCTGTGGTCACATAAACTTACACGGACTTCACGACGTCAGTATCCCCCCACCTCGCCCAGATCTTTCCTTTGGTGCCTCAAGGGTATTTTGTTCCAATCTATGAACATCGTGGCCAGAATTGGTTACCAATATTTCAGACATGACAGTTAAATGCAGATCCATACTTGAACGTAATCAATTTAAAGATTTTTAACAGAAAGTAACACTATATTAATGGGTATTAATATGCCAAAAGAGCAAATTTGAAATCGGATATCTAATATCATCAGTTACATTTTATTGATACAATAAAGAAACACGTGCCAGATATTTTAGAATACGATCGAAGCGTATCAAAAAAAACCTAAAGTCATTGACAATTTAACGACACATGTAAGAAGGTGATATTGAAGCAATAATTAGAGTAAATGATAAGGATATAAAAACCTTACTGACTGACAGTTTTAAAAAGATTTCAAGTATCATTGAAACTTGACTAAGTAGAACATTCTATCTCATTTATTCCGTAAAGAACTCTTGAGAAAGCAATGGGAATCTTCACATCCATTACACACCGACACAAGATTGACAGGCGGTAAAATAACGACAAGTTATAACAAACGAGAGATGATTTATTTTAAAGTCAATTTAATTAAGGTGAATGAACTTCATATTTGCAAAGATAACAAACTTGTTTTGTGCTTTTGTATTCAATTTCATGTGATTTATTACGCTGGATATTTGTTGTTTTCTTTTTTAAAAAGAAAGAATATATAAATGGCACTACAAAAGGTTAAACGAAATCTTTCGGTGAACGTCGATATTATAATATTTGAGAAAAATACTTTAAAAATTGTGCTGATAATTGTTCTTGTTTTTGTTTTTACCACAATACAAACCATCTTTTTATTCGCACAAATTTCAAACAGGCATATACTGTCATCACCTAAGGCTGCTATTACATAGGGGTATACGGTATACGGTATTCGGTATACGTTTAGAGGTATACGCCAATACTTGTGTTCGAACAACAGAAATATACTGTCATCACCCAAGGTTGCTATTACATAGGGGTATACGGTATTCGGTATACGTTTAGAGGTATACGCGAATACTTGTGTTCCAACAACAGAAATTTGCTTAGCGGTTTACATCGGACTATACGCGTATAGGGGCACGCTGTACGCGTATACATGGTATCGTGCATGTTCGTTTTTTCGGTGTATACGTGCTGCAGGGTGTTGTAAGAATCAAAAGTTCTGAACATTGATGGACATATCTCTAGGGATGGAAGACTATTCTAGATTCTCCTGAACCGTGATTTCCAGTTAACTGCCCCTTCCCCACCTCCCATATTGGAATGACCCGACACAAACCCTGACCTTCACGCCAACATGCTTCACGCCTCCGTAAGTAGAAACCAGGCCAGAGTTTCCTCTTCTTCTGAATCCATTATGTCCGGATATGAATGAGGCAACCAAAATCGGTGGGAAACATGTATACCTACGTATAGTATATGCCGTATAAACTTCCGTGCCCGTTTACCGTATAACGAATACCGTATATCGTATACCCCAATGTAATAGCCGCCTAAATCCATCACGTAAGTGCGCCACAGCTTATAGTGTTTGAGCATTTGGATGGCCGAATGGGTAGCGCGTGTGTGTTGTATCATAAGGTCTGTAATTGAGTCAGCTGGCGTGGTTTAGATCCCCCGGTTGTGCGTGACAAGGAATAAGGTTTCGTCCAACTGCTAAAGACCCCTACGCGCAAGTGAATTATTGAAATAAAATTGAACCATATGTAGTCCCGAAATGACCTAGTTTGTGTCGAGTGCAGGTTAAACCCCATCTCTCTCTCTCTCTCTCTCTCTCTCTCTCTCTCTTCCTTGAGCTTTTTTCCCACTGGCTGGGATTTTAAGATGACCATGCAAACCTAAGATAATAATTCAGTACTAATTTGAATTTAAATGTAACGTGACTTTGAAGGAATTCTTTTAATTAAAATCATTTTTATAAGACCCCCCATTGTGGACCACCATTTATACGAGAGGACTAGTACATTTTGTTCAGAATGTTTAGACCTAAAAAAAAATCATACCATATGAACTTGGCTTATGTTCTATGGCAACAACAAACATGTCTTAACGAACATTCTTATCGCTAGCTATACTAAAACATAAACTGGTCGTTAATTCCCAGTCCCAGTATTTTAGGTTTTGTATTGGTTATTATGACTCCCTTGATACTCCAAGAATCAATATAAAACATAAACCTGTAGCTAATTTTATTACAGATGCATTAAACATACATATGATTCTGTGCACTGATGATAATTACTGATTCAAAATATTATAATGACAATATTAATGGCGAGGTGTAATCTATATAAAATAACGACATTACGGGGAGATATAAATTCCTGACTTTACACATGGTGGTTGAAATAGCAATATTTATTTTTTCTGGTAGATTTCGAACACAAGTGATAGACTGAGATTTCGGCCACAGGGCTTAAGGTCACAGAGGTCATATAGGTTGTAACTGGTCCTAATAGGCGCTTAAACTAGTTAGATTTAGGGTTAAAAGCCTTCGTGGCTGAAACGTAGTGCATTCAACATTAGTATAACATCAGTGCCAGATTTACCTATAGGCTTGATAGACTGAAGCCCATAGGACCGCAAGAACTAGGGGGCCTCAAACAATTTTTGACACTATCATAAGCCGTTCTATTTCTAACACGCGCTGTAGTCTTAAACAGTCGCCATCTTCCTCCAGTGGTGAGGGGGGTGGGTGGAAGGGACCCCATAAGTGGAATAGTCCATCTAAATCCTGCACTGAACAAGATAATTAATATAACAACGTTGAAATGCCTAAAATCATTATTTTTGTCATGCCCGAATTTGTTAACAGAAGCAAACCAAAACGGTTCCATACGAACAAAAGAATTCTTAGACCCATAATGCCAAAATTATTGCTTGTTTCTGTACAAGAATCAATCTGTTCATCATTATGAGGTTATTTCTCTTTGATCAGAATAACAAAAATACATCTTATCAAAATTCGCTCAAGAGTAAATCAAGACAAGCCTTAGAACATATTTGTCATCATTTATGATTAATAAATCTATCTACCCCGAATCTGTTGTAGTCGACTAAAATCATCATCTATGCCTAATCAGAACAAAAGGTTCATTTTTACCTTCAACATAAAAGAATGCAAACCAACCTTGACGTAAAGAGAATATGGTCGATGTTTGTTAAAATACCTGATGAGAATTCCGCATGATACACTGTATGATAATTTAGTGTTTGGTAAATAGGCCTATAGTATTATTTTACCTCTACGTATAATAACTGTTCTTATTTTGATGATCATGTCAGCAGAAGCTTTCGTATGAACCTTTTGTTTTGGGTGTACACTTTACCTATAAATATCTCCATT